AGTCCCACCGCACCTTGACTCCTGGATGCCGCTCACTGCCCTCCTCGCGAAGGCGGTGGCGGTGGCCAGGTCTCCCCCGCCCAGCCCAGGCCCTTGGCCCGGGTCCTGACACCCAAGCCCCGCACTCACCACCTGGCGAGCTATGTCGGTCGCTGCCATCCCTCCAACTGCTCCTGCCTCCTCCAGGGCTGCCTCGGGCGCCTCCTCAACGGGAGATCCAGCACGGGAAACAGGGGAGCTCCTCCGACAAAGAGAAAGTGTTACACTTTGGGCGCGACCAAGTCCTGTGGGGGGAGGTGCAAGGGAGGAGCCCCCTCGCCGCTGCTCCAACCCCAATCTCCCCTCTATCGCCCACCCCCTCGGAAGTGGGGTCTGGGGAGGAGACGGATTTAACGCGACGCTTCCCCCTACTAGCGCGCTTCCAGTTCTCCCTACAACCTCAGTCGCTGGCCTTGGCGAAGGGAGGCGGGGGCTCCCCTCGGTGACCACGTCCTGCCCCACCCCCGCCACTGGGTTCCATGGTACGTCCCGACCTCTGCTGAATTGTCACACCCCCCTGCTCTCGCCTTACATCCCTGAGTCTCCAGACCCCCAAAGACTGGAGGGGAGCCCCTGCCCCTCCCCCTCCCGCGCACAGCTCTGCGGCTGAGCTCCGCAGTCCTTCTCTCCTTCCCCCCAGACCCCCTGGACCCCTTCTCCCTCTCCACCGAGATATCAGGGTGCAGGGGTTCCGGTGCTCGCCACTGGAGTCTTGATGCTCTACCACACCTGACACCCGTCCCCCCAGCCCCCATCTTGGCCCGGGAGTGCTGCTGAGGCCGGAGGGGGGCAGCTGCTGCGGCACCTGCAGCTCCGTAGTGGAGCTTAGAAAGGGGACGGTGGAGGGAGCCGCACTGCCGCCCCGCAACTGAGCTGTGACCAGCGGAGTCCGAGGCCAGCAGTTCAGAGATGAAGCGCCCCTTCTGCCCTGGGGTTTCTACGCCTCGGGTCCTGTGGGCTGTAATTTCGTGGAGCCAAGCCACCACCGTTGGGTACTTAATACAGATGGGCCCCATGCCTCCTCTCCCCACCCAGCCCCAGACCGCCTACCCTCTCCCTCTCTTGCCCTGGACCCTTGGGGAGTCAGAGGAGGTGCTTGGGGATGAAGATCCCCAGCTCTGTGGAGCCGGATAGTGGGCAGTGAGGAGGAGCTGCCTCCAGTGGCTGTAGGCCGACCCCTGATTGTCCTTAAACCTTGGGTGAGCCCAGGAGAACCTACAAGGCAGAGGCTATGTCTGTCTGATTTTCTTTTCCTCTTGGTCGGCACTGCTGCGGGTCCCCTCTCTTGCCCTTGGCATTTCTCCACCACTGCAGCCCTGATGCCCCTGGCCTCTCCCCCCTCACCCCGGGAGTGGCCCCTTGCTAGTTCCCTGGGACTGGGGACCCTGGCAGATTTGGCTGCCGGAAGCCTGAGGGGTGGGGCACTCCAGTCCTCAAAAGGGCAGGTGCTCTGGTCTCAAAGGGGGACCCAGACCCTAGAGTGGCATCTGGGACCACAAGGGGAGGCAGGCCTGTGGGCAAAAACTGGGTCCGCAGGGGGTCTGGATAGGGAGAGGCCTCTCAGCAGCCAGTCCAAGGCTGAAGGGGAGGCGGGAGGGAGGAAAGCAGCAAAACAGGAACCAGGGAGAGAGAGGGAGAAGGGACCCGACCCAGTGGCCCAGGCCTGTGGAGAAGGAAGGAAGGCAGAGAAATGGGGTGGTCACATGAAGCGCTTTACTGGCATTTGATTCCCCCTGCCGGGACCGTGCTTCTCACTGCTGTTTGGAGGAGCTCCTTGGGTGCGGAGAGCACCTGAAGAACTAGGACTGCGCACAAAGCATCCCTAGTGCCTAGCTCGGGGCCTGACACTCAGGAAGCGACCAATTAAGCGTGTCTTAAACAGGAAAGCAGAGGATTTGGATATGGGGGGAGGGGTACATAAGAAAGAAGAGACACCAGGTGGTGT